CCTCAGCCACTGCAGCACGAGTTCAATCCCCATCCAGGGAGCTGACCCACATGGCAAAGCAGACCTCTGCTGACCCGCCCGCTGCTCCCCTCAACAGTGTATTTCAATGGATCTGCCTGTTCTGCTCCCTGCTCTGTCTCTTGTGAACCCTTTCACCCCCCCACACCTCCTAAATCTTGTATGTATAAATAAAAATTTAAATAAATAAAAGTAGTAGCTTCCCACTGAACACATGGTCGAGGCTGAAAGCAACCCAGAGGCATCCACAGCTCCAGCAACATGGCCTGCCATGGACATCACACCCACATCCTTTGCCCACAGGGCTCCCATCCCCCAAAAGCACTCTCTCCACCTGCCCATCACTCTTCTGCCCAGTACGTGCCCAGCACCCCGCTCCCAAAAAAGGATGGATCCTCTCCTCTGTGACCCCAAAGCATCTAACAAATGCCCCTATGACAGCCTAGGATGCTGTGATGGCAAGCGAGGTGCGGAAGGCTGTGTCCAGGGCCCCAAGTGCCACACACACAGCACAGCGCCGCCACCAGGGTTCACAGTCTGGTCTGGATGCCAGTTATAGGGGTCGTGGATTCACCCTCACCTAGAATGGGTGACCTCATCATTTACTGAATCAGGAGAGCAACTCAGAGCTCTCAGTCAAGTATGGGAAGAGGTACCTAGAATGACCTCACAAATACCAGGGCTTTCTCACTCGCGGAGTCATGGGGTGGATGGGACTTCTTTCAGGACGGTGGACCACTGCCCAAAGGAAATGTGTGATCAGCCACCTGCCTTCTCTGAGCCTCAGTTTCTCTGCCTGACAAAGGGCAAGGCGACCCACGTCCCTGAGATGTGTGCCACCGCTCCTCACCCAGGCCTCTTCCACACCTCTGCCCTTAGCCAGCTGCAAATTCCTCACAGCCCAGCTGGCAGGCAATTCAACTATTTTTAGGCTACCCAGGCTCAAGGAGAGAGCCAATTCAGGACATGAGAAACCCATGGGGTCTGAAAGCTTACACATCCCTCCTTTCTGGGGCCATGTCACCACTGGCAGGTGGGGGGGCAGGTCTGCTCACCACCAGGAAACACTGTGCTGAGTGTCCCTCCAGGACCCTGGTTCCAGGGAGCACTCTCCCTTCTGAAGAAATTGCCTCCTCCTGCCTCTACGCGTTAGGGTGGTTGGGCCATCCCACACTTCTGGGCCTCAGTGGCTCTCCCATAAAGTCGTGCTAGAAGCAGCAAGATATAGGGCAAAATACATCACTTGTGTACAGGGGCAGGGCAGGTGACTGGTGAATTAGCTGCATGTAAGAAGATGGAGATCATGTGGCTGTAGAATCCGAGAGGCTGAACTATAATGGCCCTGTGTTCCAGGTTATACAAGCCCTTGCTATCCTTTTAAAGTCTTTCGAAGACTTCCCAGAGAACAGAAACCACACCAAAGTTCCACTTTCAGAACCACGGAGTTCTTTTATGAACTGGGAAATATGGGCACAGGGGAAGTCACTCTCTAAAAAGGCTGTTAGCTTTCCCTGGAAGGTAGACAAGCTGGGCAGTGTAATGGTGGTAGAGAGCAGGCAGCCGAGTCAGCTTTGTCCTGGTTCAAATCCAACTTCTCCCAGTCCTGGCTGGGTGGCCCTTAGCAGCCTGTTAACCTCTCTTTTTGCCTCCATCAACACTGCTGCCTGCATTGTTCTAACAGATGATATATATGGAGTGCAAGGGCCAGGGACTGGCCCAGGACTCATTGTCTTGTGATACAAGACCCAGGGTCCCAGATTTCAGACTCCCACTGAACAGAGGCTTCCAGATCCTGGTTCACATGATCCACAGTTTGCTAGCCTTGAGATCTTGCTGCCCAGAGCAAGCCTGGCTTTGTGCAAAATGAACATCAAATTCTTTGCATGTTCAAACCATTAAGCATCTCCTCAGATGAGGTCCTGCATTTTCCAAAATGCTAATTTTGTTTTTCAGTTTGCCTGAAAAGGAAGCAGCAAGTCCCCAAGCAGGAGCCAGGCTGGAGAGGGGGGAGACCAAAGACTCCAGGAGCGGAGCTCAACCCCTAGGCCGCATGCGACTTTGCAGACAGGAATGTTTTTCCCATCACCTGGGGATCTGAGCCAATTTGTGGAAAAACAGACTGCAAAGATACACGGGTGGGAGGAGAATCAGTGACAGATAACAGGCGAAGCTGCGTGCCAGCGGTGCGGCACTCCAGCCAGAGGCCTGTTCTCATTAGAGGCGCAGAGAGCCCTGCACTGCCGGGAAAGCCGCCCCAGGCTGAGACGCCCTTACCCGTCTGGCGGCTCCGGTAATGAGGTCCCAGCCAGGACCCAAAGCACACAGCCTCTGCCTGTACACATACGGTGCCTCCTAATTACCACACTTGTTGGCTCCCAGGGGTGCAGTGATGCTCACCTCAAGGCGCTCTAGGCAAGGCAAGTTGGGAAGGGCCCCCAGTGAACTCCAGGGCTTCAGCCTCCCTCCCCAGGCTCAGGACCAGCCAAGGGGCCAGGCCCTGATTCACAGCACATTCCAGGGTTCTAGAGCACTCTGAAGCTGCCTTCCAAGGCACCTTGTTGGGGCCCCTGACCAGAAAATAACTGCCCCCAGAGTCCCCAGGAAGGGCACAGGGTCTGCTTTCTCCTCCAGAGACTGACACTGAGAGAGGAAGCTGCACCCCGGTGTCTCCCTGGAACCCACATGAGTAACGCAACACTGAGGAGGGGCTCTAGTGGAGTGTGCAGGACACAAACACCAGTTCTGCCACTTGCAGGGACACTTACAACCCAGCCTGGGGCAAGGGATAAGGGCCCTCTCCCAGCTGGGCCTAACCACGGAGGCAGGAGCCCCAGTGCCATCCCAGAGACCTTCCTGCCTTGGATCAGGATCCACTGTGGCAAAGATAATGTCATCACAGAATGGCCTGAAGGAAAGACACCATTAAAAATTGATAACCACAAAATGCCCTAGCCATGACAGAGGGGTTCTCTAAGTCTGAATTTAGCAGGAGGAGGGTCATTAAGCACAAAGGTATGTCCACCCCACAAGTGGATTTATTTGCAAGGGAAGGTTCTACTTTGCTCTACCATCTCGGGGAAGTGGAGGGAGCAACCTGAAGGCTACAGGCCCAGCAGGGCCAGACATCGCCAAACCAGCGCTCAGTCGACACAAAGCCGCTAGGCCTGACTTCTAGTAAACTGGGAAAGCAAAGTGCTTGGATGCAACACAGGGGAACACCTCAAGTGAAAGACCAGGAGACTGTCTCCAGCCCACTCCCTCTGGAACTTGTTTCCTGAGCCATCCGCCTGTCTTTTCAGGAGTCCTGGCCAGAAAAAAAAGCCCGTGGTGATCTCAATATGGAAAGTGAGTTTTCCGATGCGCAAAACAAAAGACATGAAACACAGGCACACACCCTGTGCAAAAGCTTTCTTTCCAAGTCAACCTTGAAAAGAGGAATTTTTTCATCCAACCATCTGCTTCCTCCACATCTTGTCCACCTGACTCTTGACCCAGAAAAGTCCAAGCTGAGAGTTGGGTGGTTCTGGAAACTTGGGGCTAAGGGCACAGGACCCCAGCACAGATGTTTCCTGAACATATGAGGCTGGGATGATCTGGAGATATCCTTTAGGGCAGTTTTCAGTCAGGGGCCAAGTTGGCCCTAATATAAGAGCTTCACAGAAGCTGCCAGCACTTGGGGAGGACAGGAGCTCTGAGAGAGTGTGAGGAATGTGGCTTAAACTCAGCTGCCATCAAGGGGGCCGCTGGGCTGCAGAGAAGGCAGGAAAAATAGCAGTTCATAGTTTAAAGAAATGAAATCCAGGGCCCTCCCTGGTGGCACAACAGGTTAAAGCACAGCACTGCAAGCTAGCCACAGCCGCTTCAGTGCGAGTTCCATCCCTGGCCCCAGGGGTGACCCACATGGCACAGCAGACCTCTCCTGTCTCTCCTGCTGCTCCCCTCAGCAGTGTACTTCATCAATCTACCCATTCTGCTCCCACTGTGTCTCTGGTGAATCTTCTCACCCTCTGTATCTCTGGCCTGTACCCCAGTTCTAAATGCATAAATAAATAAATCTTTAAAAAAAGAAAGAAATGAAATTCAGGCCTAATAAAAAACGTTGAAAACATGCTGAGTCAAGTAAACCACACAAAAGGTCAAATACAGGAAGAAGATTAGCAATTAGGGGAGAGGGGTAGAGACAGAAGACAGAATGAGGGGCTGCTGACAGAAGCAGGAAGGTAATCACCTCCCAGCAACTGCACAGGCTGATATTACAAACCACTGACAGAAAGATGCTCCCCTCCTCTGCAGTGATGTGTGCAGTGCGTGGTGGCACTCTGACAATTCGTGTAAAATGGATCCATGAGGACTTTTCCAAAATACTGTCAGTGATTACCTCTGGAAGTTAGGTAATGGTGACATTTTTCCTTTTGGTCATCAAAATTCTCTTTCCAACTATGTGATTACAATTCTCAAGACAGCACCTTAGGCCCCTTCACAACTCACAGGCCCTCTCCCTGGAAGAACCTTCGCCTCCCACATCAACTGCATCAGAGTTCTGCCTGGGCCATGCCTTTGTCACCTCGAGCTCAGTCGCCTCCTTCTAGACACCAAGCTACTGGGACAGGGAGAAAGAGCACACCAGGATGTCAGCTCAGATCCCCGTGAGGCAATCCAACACAAAGTGGACCTTTCTCATAAAAGATTCTGGGAAATCAAGTCTACAGTGATATGGACAAAAGGAGACAACACATGTGTGTTTCTATGAGATCTGGTGGGTGGAAATCTTCTGATCTGACCCAATATTTGATGTCACCCACTCCCCACCAGACACACCTCACCTGGACTGCCCAGGTACACACACAGTGCTTCCTGGCAGCTGTTTCCTGTGCTGAGTCCACACTTCCTAAGTTGTGGCACCCATCCCCTCGAGCCGAGCATCACCTTGACACAGCACCCACGACCAGCAAGGCCCTCCCAGCTCCCTTCCTGGCTTCTACCTTCTCTCATTGTCATCCAGGTGGGCAAACAGCACGTTCTTGGAGATGGCTTTGGCCAGTGCCGTCATGGTCTTATAGTCCTTGGGGATCACCTGCAGGGGAAGCCAAAGAAAATCAGTACCTGCCTGGAACAAGTGCTGACCTTTCCTAACATCTGTTTGGCCCTGAGAAGTATGATACAACTTAAACTGTTCAAACTTCAACTTGTGTCAGATAACAATAAAGACAGACAGGGCCCTCCCTAGTGGCGCAGCAGGTTAAAGTGCAGCACTACAAGCTAGCTGCAGCCAATTCAGTGCAAGTTCAATCCCCCACCCCAAGGTGACCCACATGGCGCAGCAGACCTCTCCTGACCAACCTGCTGCTCCCCTAAGCAGTGTACTTTGTTGATCTGCCTGTTCTGCTCCCCACTCTGACTCTGACGAACCCTCTCACCGCCCGTGGACCTGCCCCTGTACCCCAGTTCTGTATGCATAAATAAATAAATCTTTAAAAAGAAAACAATAACAATGTTAATGTTATGTCATAATAAATTTGTATTTAAAAAACAAAGAAAATAGGAGGAATCCAAAGCAACCCAAGGGGCGGTTTAAATGCCACCTAGAAGTTGGGGTCTCAATAGACTGACTCTGGTGGGACTCAAGACCTCCCAGAAGATGTGAAAGACCTCCAGCTTCTTGGTTTATTGGGTCTTCTGTGGATTTTTTTTATTTCACCAAGACAATGAACAGTTAGTTAAAAACTTGAAATCTGAGGAGCAAAATAAAAGGCCCAAGTTTGAGCGTAACTACTTCAGGTTAGGATGGAGGAAAAGGAGCCCTTTTGTCAGTTGGACTGTCAAAGGCAGGAGTGAGGGAAAGGCCCATGAGCATTCTGGGCTCTCCGCGTTCCAGACAAGGTAGGGATGCCTGGTGGGAGCTTCCACCACCCACCGTGCCCAATGAATCCACCACCAAATGTTGGCGAGCACCTGCATCTTAAGGTATGAGTGTCTTGAACACCAGTTCCCTTAAAAAATGCTGAAGGGAGGCCCTCCCTGGTGGCGCAGCGGGTTAAAGCACAGCACTGAGAATCTAAAGCCGCTTCCGCATGAGTTCGATTCCCGCCTGCCCCGGAGGTGACCACATGGCGTGGCAGACCTCTCCTGACCCGCCCGCTGCTCCCCTCAGCAGTGTACTTCGTCGATCTGCCTGTTCTGCTCCCCACTCTGTCTCTGGTGAATCCTCTCACCCTCCGCATCTCTGGCCTGTACCCCAGTTCTGTATGAATAAATAAATAAATCTTTAAAAAAAAAAAAAAAAAAGCTGAAGGGAGGCACCTAGCGGTAATAGGACCCCACCTCCCTCAGCTGCCCAGAGTCTGCCCTGTTGGGGGGGGAGGGGAGAAGGGGGAGGTTCAGCAGATGTGTGCCTTATCTTTAATACCAAAGAAACCTTTATAAGGCAACCTTTCTGGAAACAGCTCTGAGGCCCCTAAAAAGCCACCCCAATTATAACTGACTTTTTCAAGTAAATTTTTCTTTTAGAGTAGATTTCAGAAGAGACAGCATGCATCTCTCACCCAGTCTTGCTGTGGTTGATTCATAAGTGACGCTGGCATCTGCCACAACCAGGGACCAGCCTTAGCAATGACCAATGACAAATCCCAGATGGTCCTGTCCTGTGTTTCACCCCAAAGGCCTTGTTCTGTCCCAGGATCCTACCAAGGCCACACACAGTTGTGCTCCCCCCCCAAGTCTCCCAGTTGGTGGCAGTCCTGGCTGAAGACAATCCTCAGAAGTCCTTTGCTTTGATGACCTTGACAAGTCTGAGGGGGGCTGCTGAGGTATTTGGCAGATGCTCCTCAATTTGGGTCTGAGGCTCTTCTCATGGTCACAGGGGGGTTCTGGGTTTGGGGAAAGAAGACCACAGAATTGGGGTGCCTAGTTTTATAAACAATATTTTGCTGGTTTTCATAATCTGCTTATCAAAGTATTAAATACTGGGGAGGAGGGTTATTGGATGGAAACAGAATTTCAGTTTTATAAGATAAGGTTCCACTACAGCAACATGAATATATGTAATGTTATTGAATTATTCACTTAAAAAAATGGCTAAGATGGGGGCCCTCTCTGGTGGTGCAACAGATTAAAGCACAGCACTATGAAGCTATTCACAGCCACTACAGCATGAGTTCGATCCCCAGCCAAGGGGGGGGGACCCCACAGGGCACAGCAGACTTCTCCTTACCAGCCTGTTGCTGCCCTCAGCAGTGTATTTCAATCAATCCACCTGTTCCGCTCCCCACTCTGTCTCTGGTGAATTCTTTCATCCCCCTGCACCCCTGGCATGTACCCCATAAATAAATCTTTTTTTTAAATGGCTAAGATGGTGCAAGGGGTGGACTGTGTCCCCCATATTCAGTGTGAGATGAGGTGGCATGGGGGGGACCTTGGGGCATGATCAGGTTTAGATGAAGTTAGTGGAGAACGTCTGCAAAGTGCTCCACATCCTTGTGAGAGGGACCTGAGAGGGGCACTCTGTGTCTCTCTGTCTCCCTGTCTGGTCTGTCTTCGCCCTCTCCCCTCACCAGGTGAGGGCCCAGTAATAAAGCCTCAAAGAGGATCCTCACCAGAAACCAACCTGCCAGTACCTTGATCTCAACTCCGAGCCTCCAGGACCATGAGAAACCACATTTCTGTCATGTGAGCTACCCTATCTGTGGTGTTTTGTGATTATGGTCAAGCTGACCGATAAAGATGATAAAATTTGTGTTAAGCATATTTTGCCATCACTCAAGAAAAGGCTTTTGAAAAGTAGGTCAAAAACTAAAAATACCAAAAAAGAAGTGTCAAGTACTTGTTAAAGACCAGCTGTAGAAATGCCTACTGCAGAGATGAAAGGCCCCACATTCAAGGGCAAAACAGGAGGGAGGTCCTAGGCGAGAAGGGGTGCACAGGGTCCATGATCCAGGCCTCTGGAAGCACAGAGAGAGGAGGGGTGGGTGTGGGGTGGAGGGGAGTTTCCCACAGGGCAGCACTGAGGTCAGGGTTCTGGCCCAAAGGAGTGGCCCCACACAGCCACTCCTCCTCCAAGACAAGCAACTGAGTCCATACCGGCCTGGGCCTGCAGGAGCACAAACTGGTGGATGGTGGAGAACCCCCAAGAGTCCTGAAAGCCAATGTGTATTTGACAGGCACCCCCGGCTCCCTCCCACCGGAAGGGAGACCCAAGGCCCAGTAACTCACCTTCCTCACGTAGGACACGGCATCCTCCTCCGTGTACACCTCAGCGCTCACGCCGCCTCGGCGGTGGCGGGCTTTCACCACGGGGTTGGGTGGTGTCGGGGAGACCTCCTCATCATGTGAGTCTGACTGGGAGGTTGACTTCTGCTGGGCTAAAATCTGCCTGTTTTCTTCCTGGGGTTGGGGGAGGAGAGGACAGTGGGTGAGAACAAATTCCCAGTCTGCCAGCTCACAGGTGTGGTCTCCGGAGGGGCTTCAGAAAGACAAGCTCCTCTCCACCAGCCTTTGCACCTGGGCCTCCTGCCTCCAGTGCTTTCCATGGCTCTCTGCGTTGACACCTTTCTCCCCTGCTCCCCTCCACTGCCCCAGGTCAGCAGTGCCATGGAGAGATGCCACAGAGCAGAGTGGACAGCCGGTTAAACCATGGTGTTTGACACTCAAGCAAAGGGACCCACAGAGAGGAGCATGCAGGATACAGAGAACCAAGAACAGGATTCCTGAGCCTGGCACTCCACTCAGGCAGGTGTGCACAGGGAACTTCTTATTGTTAACAGGAACTTTTTTCACTTTTTATTATTGTTTAGTACAGAAACTCTCAAATCTATACAAAGTAAAATAATATCAACATAATGAATGACCAAATGCCCATCACCCAATATGGACAATTACCAAGAATCCATCCTATTTCATCTCTCTTACATCCACTTTTACACACACACACACAACCACACACTCATGCACACACAGACAGCACACACACAGCACACATAGACACAAAGACATATATAAACAGGCACAAACACAGTGCATACACACATACACACACACACGCAGCAGAGGGTTAAAGCAAAACTCATCTATTACGCAATTCCATTTTAAGTACTTTAGTGTATATCTCTAAAAAATGACACAAAAACATAGCCACACCTACTGTCATTTTAAGAAATTACTATTTATTCCTTAATATCATCAAATATGCACCAGTGTTGAAATTCCCGTCACCATTTTTAAAAAAAAATTTCTTTATTCTAAACAGAACCTTAGCAAGACTATTGTTTAATTTTTAGATGTAAGCAGATAAAGTTATCTGACAGTGAGGAAACTGTTCAGCACAAAAATGTGGACCAGGATAAACAAAAAGGAAAAATATGATTTTGGTGAAAACAAAAGCAATTAGGAAAGAGAAAACAACTTCAAATGAGTGTCTATACTGTACTTAATAGATCTTACAAGAAATTATATCCACTGAACATAAATACTATGAAAACAGAAAAGTTTCCTTTAGAAAGAAAACTGCTAAGATTAAATGCATACATGTGTATTGATAATCAGTACAATAAACTTCATATAAATACCAAGCATAAGTTACTGTTTATATTGAACATGATACACATTACACATGAATTACATCCATGACACATAACAGCAGATACACAAATCATGGAAATAACCAGAAAAGGAAACAGAAAGGTAGAAAGTGTGTAAGAAAATTTTAAAATTGCCAAAAACAATCCAGGAGTTTTAAGGTCTCATTAATAGCTCTCCTGCTTGATAAAACAACAGCAAGGAAACTGACAGAAGCCAAAGGTAACTGTCAAAATCGAAGGAGTCTCTTAGTGGTCACCCTCAGAAGGATGAGCCTAGAGATTGAGGGAAGTTTACACAGTGAAACGTCCAGAGGTGAGAACAGCCCCACAGAGTGATGCAAGGTCATGGGCCAAGGACTGGCCATCCCTACAGCTCAGACCTCTCGACAGAAAGTCCTGTACCAGAAAGCAGTGGACACACCTCCAACTTTCAAAAGGAAACTTGTTTCCAACCCACGGCTGTAACCCAACCAACCCACGTTCACAGTTGTAGGTGGGTTGGAGGGTGTGCCTGGTGATCGTTTAGCAAAACCTATAGCCAAACCAGAAGAGGCATCACTGTGATTTTTGAAGTAATATATTATCGGTCCACAATATGCAAAATGACCAAAAGCAGTGGGATTTTGGAAAGGAAAGCGAAAGATTGTAGCAGACATGCTACAATCTTGACCTTACAAAGCCTAATAAACTACAAGCTAAGGAGCTAGTATTTAGACAAGAAACAATAAAGGAATCACAAACAGTAGAGGCACAGCATTGGTCACGTGGGTTACCAGACAGGCTGTACCACTCAAGCCCACTGGTGGCACTGAAGTCACAGCCTCTCTTGAGCTCCCTCACCTCTGGACTGGCGCTCTGCTGTTGCCTCAACAGTCCAAACAGGTTCCTCCCTCTGCCCTGTCCTCGTTCTTGATGCTGTTCCCTCTGCCTGAGCTCCCTTCCCCAGATTCTCAAGGCTTTGCTCTCTCCATCCAAGCCACCTCAGCGGGGAGAAGCCCTTTCTCCATCATTCCCTCCAGGCCTCCTCCGGTGTCCTGACTACTCCTGCCAGCACTTACTGTCTCTGGTCACTTACAGTTTGGCGGATTCTTCGTGGCTGCAGTCTATTCTCTCTCTAGAACATAAACTTTATCCACAGTTAATCTCCAGGGCTTACAACAGTGCCAACCCACAGTAAATGCTTCATAAATATTTGCTAAATGAACAAAAGCCTCTTTTTTTTTTTTTCATTTTCAAAGGGAAAAACATATTTTGGAAACCCCAGTAACCCAGAACACAGAACTATAAACATTCTCCTACTTCTTGACATTGTATCTGCTTTTGATGACAACTATGAAGGTGGTGAGGAGATGCCTGCATGTGAAAAAAAGGTGAAAGAGAATTAATTTTTAGGGCCCTTCCTGGTGGCAAATGGGTTAAGCACAGCTCTATGAGGCTATCCACAGCCATTGCAGTATAAGTTCGATCCCTGGCCAGAGAAGTGACCCACATGGTATGGCAGACCTCTCCTGACCCCACCACTGCTCCCCTCAACAGTGTATTTCAGTCAATCTGCCTGTTCTGCTCCCACTCTCTCTGGTGAATCTTCTCATCCCCTGCACCTCTGGCCTGTACCCAGTTCTTGTATGCATAAATAAATAAACCTTTAAAAAAGAAACAGATAGTTCATCTTTAGAAGTGCCAAGGAATTAGGATTGGGGTCAAATTTGTTCAACTTCCTTCATGGTACTGTAACATTAACACAACACAAATAAACTGGAAGGCATAATTATGTCATAATAAAAATAAAACTTTTTGTTTCCCACAGAGTAGTCATAAATACCACTGAGATGCCCAATGAATAAATTCCTCGCTTACCACACACTCAGAAGGAGGGACTTCTCAGGCCAGGGCTGCTGTTTATCAAGCTCTCCAAAGGTACGAGGCCCAGAAGGGACAGTAATGCAAAGTCAAGACTATTTGTCAGGCCCCGTCAGAGGGAGCCCTGCTCCCAGGGACATCTACTCCATGGTCTTCACTGGCATAGAGACATGCCAGCCTTGCCACCAGCTTCCCTCAAGCTGTACTTGGGAGCCTCTACATCTCGCCAGGACCCAGGTCTTTCACCTCATTCTGAACTGGCAAATGGGAATGGTTCAACAAACAAAATGAACATGCCAAGTGCGGTCAAACAAAGTCAGGCGAAGAGCAGGAACGCTCACACAGCAGACACGTCTCCTCCATATTTAAAGGGCTTGATTCCAAATCTGAACCCGGTGCTATGCCGAGAAACAAGTGCCTGGCTCCCTGAAAGATGACTCTAGCCACAGCTTCCCTCCTCGCCCATCCACACCCATCCATGAAAGTCACACGGAGATTCCCATTGAGCATTATTGATTAGTTCATTCCTATAAGCTCTTCAACTTTCACATGACCTTTGTAAACACACAAAAGTAGGAAAGAAGCTCTGGCATGGGCTAATGTCAACATGTGGTTTTTGCTCGGGTCTGGATGGAGCTGTGAAAACCCCAAAGCCTCCCTTAACAAAGTCTGGTGTGGGACCCACCCTGGTGTCATGCAGCCCAGCAGTGGGGGGTGGGCAGCAGCTCTGCAAGCCGGGGGGTGGCAGATGGCACCACAGCCCCCTTCTAAGTGAACCCCCAGCCACTCGTTTCCATGACAATGGGTCATCTCATAATGTCTGAGACTGGCACATTTCCCTGGAGTTCCTTTCTTACATTCCATCCCATTGCTAATTCCTGGGAGACAGATGAACCACTTCAACATGCAGGGAAAAGGTCATTTTACTCAACATTAGAAATGTTTTGTGGAAATCATCACACATTATGGGCCATTCCTACATGAATTCTGACTAGAAATGTGAGTTGGATCTCAACTGATGGACTTGGACCTTTGTTTTTAGGAATCATTAAAGAAAAATAACATAGGCACAAATGAGTTGGTGGGAATTTGAAAAGTGGGCTTTTGGAGGGGTGAGCTAAAAGAAAAGCCCCTCACTGTTGACAAGTGGTTATAGGACACCAGACTTCCACCACCCAGGCACCCAAGCTGGGTGGGCTGGGGCTATGTCACTATAGAGCCAGGCACAGGTGAGGCTCAAAGCCTTTAAGAGGGCAGTAATCAAGTGCCAGTCAGAGCCAGTTTGTGCCAGCTTGAACCAGATGGAACTGGTTTGACTTGGTTTTATCAAGTCAGGATAGGTTTGAACTGGTTTTATCTGGTTGGGACCCGCTGAACCCATTTGAACCTATCTGAATAGGTTATAACCAATTTTATCTGGTCAGAACCAGTTTGAACTGATGTTAGCCAGTTAGAATGGGTTTGTGCTGGTTTGACCCAATCAGAACCAGTCTCATCATGTTTAACCCAGTCAAAATTGACTAGTCCAGTCAGGACCTGTCAAAGTTGGCTAGAACAGGTTAGAGCCAGTTTTATACAGTCAGAATGGTCAGAACAGGTTTCATCAGGTCAGAATATGTTTGAACTGGTTTTATCTGGTCAGCATCAATTTGAGCTATTTTTATCCAGTCAGAACCTTATCCAAGCAGGACCAGTTTGAACTGGTCCATACACACCAACAATGTGCGAGTTTCCAATTTCTCCACATCTTTACCAATACCTGTTTTTTAGTTTTAGCTTCTTTTTTCCTTTAAAGATTTGTTGTGTTTATTTATGCATACAAGAACTGGGGTGTAGGTCAGGGGTGCAGGGAGTGAGAGGATTCTCCAGAGACAGACTAGGGAGCAGAACAGACAGGTCTACGGAAATTCATTGCTGAGGGCAAGACAGGAGAGGTCGGCAGTGTCA